AAATTGATGTGATGAACAGCAACACGAACTTTACAGTTACTTGGATCATGTGTGCTCAAGTTGTTAGTCAGACAATATTTTTATATTCAATGTCACTTTGTCCCTGACCTAATAGTTTTTACTGGGCATGACCAACCCCAACATCAGCTTTGGATTTCTTCTTAGACCCATGTGTTTTCAAGTTATTGAACAGACATTTTGATATTCAAGATAACTGTGACCGTGACCCGTGATGAGTAGCTGCCTTTTATCACTATGTGTGGCTCAACGGTTTAGAAACCACAATTACTATATATAATTAAAATAATTTATAATAACATATGCCTCGGAACAAGTTGCCTTGCCCGTTCGTGCCAGAAATAATGCACGGAAGGGCACTCCACCAGTAAAGCTGGAACGTCGCCGAATGACCTATACTGTGTCGGTGTGAGGTAAAACCAAAAAAAATAAATCCAAGTTACCTTATCCGCCGCCATTCGTGCCAGTGTTGCAGAGTCTACGCCTCGCTTTCGTAGAAATTCCTCGATTTGAGACTCCATCGTGAACAAGGAAATGGCGTAATTTATACTATGGGAGATAACTATTTCTATAAGGTGTAACTGTTTTGATTGGCTTAAAAATATGTACGAAAAACTAAAATAAAAAAGTTTCAAAAACAAAAAAAAAAAAAAAAAATGTGCGAAATACAAAAAAAAAAAAAGTTTCAAAAACAAAAAAAATAAAAAATGTGCGAAAAACAAAAAACAAAAAGTTTCAAAAAAAAAAAAACAAAAAAAATGTGCGAAAAACAAAAAAAAAAAAAAAAAAAAAAAAAAAAAAAAAAAAAAAAAATGTGCGAAAAACAAAAACAAAAAAGTTTCAAAAACAAAAAAAATTAGAAATGTGCGCTAAACAAAAAAATAAAAGTTTCAAAAACAAAAAAAAAATAAAATTTGCAAATGTCACTTTTATGCCACCGTAACTGAGGCTTTTTGACAATATTTGTTCGAGATTATTTGTTGTATGTCTAGACAAATAACTTGTGTGCAAAATGTCAGATCATTTTACAATAACAATTATCGTTGTTGTGAAAAATGACCCAAATTGAAAAGCGTTGCTACGTTTTTTATTACTCAAATCGAGCTAACAATATTTTTAATTTATTTCTTAGTACAAAATGTATATTCTTAACAGTTACTATCTTTTGCAAAAATACGATTTTTAATTTCCTTTTTAGTATATTTTTAATTATCTTTTGCACATCTTTTTGTAATAAGTGCCTGAGTGGATGTTTGTATGAAATTAAAATTTTATATGAGCCGCGTCACGACAAAACCAACATAATGGGTTTGCGACCAGCATGGATCAAGACCAGCCTGCGCATCCACGCAGTCTGATCAGTATCCATGCTGTTCGCTTACCAACACTATTACAAGTAGAGAAACTTATAGCGAACAGCATGGATCCTGATCAGACTGCGCGGATGCGCAGGCTGGTCTGGATCCATGCTGGTCGCAAACCCATTATGTTGGTTTTGTCGTGACGCGGCTCATTTTATATTCTTAGGCTTTTAGATCTCAATGGAGTTCCTTTAACATTTCAGCGGAATTTATATTCTTTACATGGTCCGAATGTCTCAAGAAAAAAGAACTTAAATATGCTTAGTCATTATAAACTTGGAGCTTTGTTTAACACTCTCGAGTCGATTTCCTTGATTAAGTAGTACCGGTGCCATAAGAATAAAACATAGTCGTAACTACAGTACCGCTCGGACCCAACACTCCTGGATTGACATACAAACGTTTACTTTAAGCTAATGTATTTCAATCTTTTACCTACATTTTATTCAATGAGAAGGCCTACGGAAATTTTCGTAGATGGACAATTTTGACTGTCTATTTCCTATTCATTGTCTATTCCTTTCATTTAAATGTGAACGACGATTGCAACGACGATGCAAAAAAAAAAAAAAAAAAAAAAAAAAAAAACCCTCCTTCCATAAAAAACGACCCCCACAAAAACAACCAGAACAAAAAAGAACAAAACAAAAAACAGCAACAAAAAACAAACACCCCCACCCAGAAAAAACAAACAAACAAAAAACAAAACAAAAACAGCAAAAAAAAAAAACAAACAAAAAAAACCCCAACAAAACAGAACAACAACAAAAACATTTAACAGTTTCATCAGTCGCCCGGCTTACCTTTATTTTGTAGTTAAAATTGTCGTTCTTATTTTCTTAATAATATATATGTATCGGCTTACCCTCATTATTAGTCACTATAATAATGAGTGATGATTTAGATATCAAAAATGTATACTTTTGTAACATCCGGCTACATTAACGTATTAACCTAACTAAAAAAACTGAAATATTCCATGCGTGATTAACCCTGATACAATAAAATACATTAAATGAAAATGTCTGATATCTGATTGCACGGTAAGCGGTTTTGAGGTGAAACCCCTCAAATAACTCATGTCAGTGTGAACTTGCAATTAAAATAACATTTGAGCCGCGTCACGACAAACCAACGTAATGCGTTTTGCGGTGACCAGCCCATAGATCTGACCAGCCTGGCATCCGCTTTAATAGTCTGATCAGGAGCCATTTTGTTTTTTCGCTTTACCAAAACTTTATTACAAGTTCGAAACAAATGGTCCTGATTCAGACTAAGCGGTGCGCAGGCTGGTCTGGATCCATGCTGGTCGCAAACGCATATGTTGGTTTTGTCGTGACACGGCTCATTTCATTTATATCATGTGGTGGGAAAAGATCATGTTGTGCCTATAAAGACGGATGGACAAAAGTATAACGCCTGTAACTGCTATGCTGGTCAAGCTTATAAATGGTGACAAAGGCCGTTAACTGAAGGCTCACGTTAATCAAACATTGGCCACAAAAACTCAATGTGCGCATGGAGCAATTATTCATCTCCTCCCAAAATTTCTTTGAAACAGAATGACTAAGCGTAAATGAGCGTAGTTTTATGATCATTTTAAAATATTAAAATGATGTTTATCATCTTTCTTGGTATTTGATATTATTGATTAATCATTATCATAAAAGTTTTACTATGATAGTCATTATCATCATCATCATTATCATCATTATCATCATCGTCGTCATCATCATCATCATCATCATCATTAGTATTATTGTTGTTATGTTATCTGTGTGGTGGGATAAATGGTATTAGTGATTCTTGTATTATAATAATAAAAAATCATCATGACCATCATCACTATCATCATCATTCTTATTCTCGTCATCTCCGTCGTAGTCGTCTTCCTTATCATCATCATCGTCAGAATCATCATCATTATCGCCACCACTATCATCATCGTAATCATCATATGTTACCACTAATTCATCTTTAAACAAACATTTAACCAGCAGCTTTTTTGTACATAAATCAGAACTAAGACGAAATGTTGTATATGCATTCAATTTGCACTGAATATATTAAAGAAATGATATTTACAAACGTGAAAAATCAATCAATATTGACATAATTATGGTGTCTCTTCAGGGCCATTGCGACACACAAATATCTCGAGACAACGAAAGCACGACATAACGATGATGAAAAGTCGAAGGTTCGATTATGAAAAGTCGAAAGTACGGTGGTGAAAATTCGAAATAGTGAGACAACAAAACTAAGATGCTAAAAGGTCGAAATAACGATGGTTAAAACACGAAAAAATATCGAGTATTCACCATCTTGGTTTGTTAATTCGACTTTTCACTGTCGTACTTCTGAAGTTTAGTCATCGTACCTTCGACTTTTCACCATCATGGTTTCGTTATTTCGACATTTAACAATCACAATTTCGTGTTTTCGTTGTTTAAAGTAATGTGTGTAGCGATGGCTATGAAAGAACACCGTACGTTAAAGATTAAGAATAGTCAATGGACACTATAAACAAACATATGCGGACTATATACTATATTTATAAACATAGCAACGTTATATTCATCAATATTCCTACTACATTCATGTACTAAATTTTTAACGGAATTTGAAAATGGCAAAGGTACCTTTTTACTTTTTTTATTCATTAACCATTACTTAAACAGAAAGAAAACTTAGATAATAAATCTATTTAAAAAGTTATAGAATATATATAATGTAAATACTTATCAAAAATACTTCAATATTAAGGTTAACTATTTATACGACTTTAAAGTACACTGTTTGATAAACATAAGTTGAATAGGTTTTACAAGGCTTAAGATTTATTAAGTCTTTCCAAACGTCTACAACACAGTTATTTCAAATATTTCCTCAAGGATATTTGCTTTATATTCATTTTTCAATTTCATGAGTATCGCGTCCGCCCGATGTTATATTTAATTGTATAGATCAAATTATGAAACCCATTTGAATTATTATGTGCACAATTACTAAATAATGTGGTTTTCATTTCTGTAAAGTTTGTAAAATGATATACTGTCTAGTATATAATGTAAAGTTACCTCAAATTAACCTTATATTTTATTTTGCGGTTATTTCCATTTTCAGCGAACATAATTGTTTTGGATCGTACACTGATTTATATGGTTCAATGTCGAGTGTAAATATAATGTTTTATATCAAGGTTTGTTAGGAAAAAATAAAAGCAGGACATTTTATTTCACCGATTTCCGCGCTACTTGTATGCTTTACGTCTGTTATCGTCCATATCATACTGTTGTTAACGGTGTATATACCCCCCCCCCCCCCCCAAAAAAAAAAAGTAAAAAAAAAATTAATCAATAAAATCACGTTTTACACGGAAAACGAGTATCTTACAATTCAACGTACGGAAGAGCGGTTGTTACATTTCAACTTAATTCTTGGGTTCATCACGATAATTAACTTCATAAAAAATTTCGATTTCAAATTTTCCCAAAAATTTTCCCGATTTCAATTTTTCAAAAAAAGGGTTTTATATCGTAAAAATTTACGAAGTTGAAAACGTGAAGTTTGAGGTTTTAAAAACCCCGGGAAATTAAAAGAAGTTTTTTTAATTTGTTTAAGTTGAAAATAAGTCGGTTTAATTTGAAATTTTCGAATTCGTGAAAATTTTAAAAAGGGGGAAATCATGAAATTAAGTTTTTAAAACGTAAAAATTTGTGAAGTTTTTAAATTGTGAAATTTAATGAACCCGAAATCGTGAGTTCGTGAGTTCCGTATTGTTAAAAAAATGAATTCACAAAGTTAAAAATGTGAATTAATGAAGATGAAATGTTGAAATATTCCACCGGTCTTTCGCAGTACGGTCATACAAAACCTTTCTTAACCCATAACATTCAAATTTGAAATAGTCCATTTAAAGTTTAAAAAATTTCATAATCAAAATACAAAAAATGGGCTGCCAACACTATCGGAACCGTTCTTTTTTGCTGGAAAGGACTAATCACTGTCGGTACCAGCAGGTAAAAAAATGGGGAAAAAATCCAACAAATCATGACACAGTATAATTTAATAAAACAAATTTTGTTATTGCTTTTATAACAAAAACAAACAATAACATGTGACACAATAGCTTGACAAAATTTTAATACATGTACTAGCATAACGTGACGCAAGAGTACAAACTGGAGTATTGCAAAGAAAGTTTCTCAAGTGTTTACATTGTTGAAACAAATTAAAAAAAAGTAAAATAGCAAATGATGTCACAATCAATGTATCAGTATATTATGTCAATCAGTCTTAACCCAACACATCGCGTCACAACTATGAAAAAAGAAAATGCCTTAGCTTATATCTTCTATTATTTACATGAAAAATGATACTAGAACGACTTTTACCTCAAATCATTTAATGACAGTCTAACATTACACTTGTCTCATCTCTTTTGTTAAAAGAAAAACATTATTTGCTTTGTGCTTTTAGTTTGAGTGGGACGAGGACGCTGAAAAAAGTAAGTAAGTCTGAAATGTTTTAGTTAATTTCATACGTTTGTCATTTTGACAGTTCAGCAGCCAATAACTAAAATGTTTAAATAAGGGCTGAGCCTCCATAATCGAATGTTAGAGCTTACGACCAGTGAAGACCAGTTCACGATCACCAGTGACCTCTGTTCGCGGACAATCTTTAAAACGTCTTACGACGATCATCGGTGATCTTTGACAGTCGCAGGCTATCTTATTTAGGTCCCACGACCAATTTAAGTCGTAGAGAGGTTTTTGAGCTTGCACAAAAACCTCCTTGCGATCCCGAAACAAAAAGGTCGGCGAAGTGATCTTTATAATGTCTTTAGGCTGCCGCACGATGGTTCGTTCAGAAGTGTGACAATTTCGACAGTCTTTTCAAAATTTGCAACTAGTTCATATAATCTTTGGAGTAAGTCTTTTAGTAATTCGTGTGATGGTCGTTACGGACTAAGTTGTATTGTTGAATCGGCATGGACAGGGTCAGGGTTAGGTTCGTAAGTTTAATACCCAACAATCTTTTGAGACCATCGAAACGGGTTTGTTTCATTGACCTGCGTGCGGATTGTCAATGATGATGGTCTTACGATTAGTCGCGAAGCTTAAATTTTATACGTGCCCAAAAATTTTGGTTTCCCGGTCGCAGACAATCGCTGGATGATCGTCAGTTTTTTACAAGTCGCCGGGGTAGGTCGCAAGTAATCTTAAGTTTTCTAGTGTGACTGGGGTTTAAAGGTTGCTTACTTTAAATCACTAGTACCTCACCATTGTGTGTACAAATCCCGTCAGAGTTTTGATTGGGCGGCGGTATGTCTCGAAACTGAATTAAAATAGGAAAGACCACATGATGTGGTTTTTCTTCGTCAGTAAAACTTGACTAAGAGAAGTGGTGAGCTAGAGGTAAAGGTGAGGTAAAGGTGGCTACGTTAAATCGTGCTTTCCAGCCCTACTACGGTCACGACCAGGTTGCCTCAGATGGCAGTTCCTTAAAGCTGATTCGAGAGTGCTCCAAATAAATTTCAAGGTGCCATCGTAATATCGAGTTTAAATAAAAATGATTAACATGAAATCATATATATAGATTTTGTCCTGAGAATGCTATGCTTAATGTTCACACGGGGTTGGTTGTTCAGAAATAGTATTTGTATTGCTATATTTCTGACGTTCCCGATCAATGCTTCGATTCTTTAGTATCAAATGGAGCCCCTTTAAACATTATATTTTAGTTAACTACACATTATTTGCCTATTGTATCATAGTTTTGAGACCTTTCTGTTGAAAAAGTGTCAGAGTTAAATTTCGTATACATTACTAGCAAGCACATGCGGTTTAATGGAGTGCATGCACTCCAGTAGTGCCCTTTGATTTGTCCATTTTTGAGGGGTTTACTTTTGTTTACGGCAGAGAAAAGGGAAAGGGCAGAAATATTATATGCAGCTTGCTCTTTCTTGGTTATTTTTTTCTGGGTTTTCTATTAATTAATTATGACTAAAGGGAAAATGCTGCTGTCATGTTTGCTATGATACGAAATGAGAGAAAGAACACCAAAACTTTATAACTCGGGGGCTATGCCCCCTCGTACAAATCAGATAGCCTCGTGTTTCGGTGCTCTTTCTATTACTAATTATCTACTGTATCTTTATATAAAATGTAGAATTTTGCGAGTTGTTTGACACGTTGGACAAAGATGGGAGTGGCAACATCACGTTCACGGAGCTGCAAGAGGCTGGCATGAAAGAAGGAGTGAGCGTTCTTGGCCAAACTGCTAGCGATGAAGAAATTAACCAGTTCTTAAACGCTGCCGATACCGACGGTAAATAAGACCACGTTATTATTTTCCTTTCATGACAGCTATGCTGTATACACCGTGAAATGAATATGTTTAATTGAAAAGAAAATGACTTCTGTATTCTATTCTTACATTTATAGTTTGCTCAATTTTTAAAACAGAAATTTGTTTTCATTTCAGCTAAAAAGATGTATTTTCCCCTTTAGATAAGAAATAAAGTAGCGTAAAATATTTTTGACATTCCATCACAGGAGAAGAAGACATATTAATCACGTGACATGTGATTAGAAGAATGACATACATTTCAATGATTAATATATTCACGTGTTTTTTTGTTTTTGTTTTTTGTCAGGGGATGGCACAGTGTCAAAAGACGAATTTAGAACATTTTTACATGAATTCATCAAAAAGTTGCAAGAAGAGCTCAACCAAAGACCTCAAAAGAAAACTACAACTGTATGTTTTAACTCGTATGTTTGCCATGAAATAAAGATAAATTTGATTCTGAGTAATAAATTATCCTAAATAACAGAATACAGGGGTCATGAAAATAATTAGAATGGTATATTATATTATTGTTACACTTATACGTTATACAAAATGTACTTTATTCATTTTCCCCGTTATTTTTCATTGATAATTCAATTTATTATATACTTGTAAATGAAACATAAGGAATATTGAAGAGATGAAATTAACATTAGATTCTCCATATTTTCACTGTAAAAAAATATTTTCCACTGCAGTGAGACATATTTTTCGTATTTTCTTTGTTGTCTTGTCGGACATCTTTCTGTGTGGTTCAGCCAATACACATAACTTATAGAGAAAGTCTTTCGAATAGTAAAGTGAAAAAGAGAAGAAAAAGTATATAAGACAGAAATTCAAGGATTTTTATATATTTTTTCATATGTTGATGTAATTATTTTTCACTTGTGGGTACGAGAACTCATCAAATATTCATTTTCATATCATTCGATTAAAAAATAAATCCTGTATTTATAGAAAAAATACTTGAATATCCTCTTTTTATTTACTAAAATGTTAATTTGTAAAACATTTTATGTAAATATGACACTGACCTCGCCTATTGGCCGTTCATAAAATATTTGTCTTAGAAATATCGCATGAAAATTATATGATACATCAACTTATGACGAGCACTTTATATAGGCCGGTAAAAGTTGTATTAAAAAGATATATAATCTAAATGGATAATAATTTCAGATGTTCGAAAGTGACGATAAAATACTGAGTTAAGAAATCAGATGAAATAATATATTAATTATAAAATGTCGTTTTCAGATCGACTGGGATGATACTAAAGAAAAAGGTATGTAGATATCATTTTATCTATGTGCATATGTTCACAAAAAGCCGAAGTAACTCCCCCCCTTTCAAAAAAAATTTTCAGTATGGGGGCTAAGCCAGGGGCATACAGTGAGGGAAATTTAAAACTGGTTTATTTAAATTTCCCGGACAAATAAAAGATTTTTTCATGCATTTTCAATAGCAAAGTGGAAAGGAATTTTTCGGAAAAATTTTTCTTTTTTTTTAGAGTTTTGTGATAGTAATTTATTTATTTAAAAATTTTCGGAATTTAAAACGGGGGTTTTCTTTCTTTAACATTGGTTTTTTTTTAAATTTTTTAGCTTCAGGTGCCGGTTTCACATTTTTCTTTTGGGTCAAAGGCTTTTGGGAAATTTTTCTACCTGTTAAAAACTTTTTTTAAAAGACAAAAATACCCAAACTTATTAAAAACACCCTTTCTGTAAAAGTTTTTGGGGAAAAAAATTTAAAATATTTCCCAAATCTTCTTCTGGTGTACCCAAAGTTCTTCTAAATTAAAAAGCTCCGACCCAGAAATCAGGTCCTGCAGAATACACATGAAGCAAGTTTTTTAAATCATCAGTTTTAGAATATACTGTTTACAATTACAATAAATTTGCACTTTGTGTATAACCAGTCAGATGCCAGGAAATGACGCACTTCAAACTTCCTAAACATAAATCCAAGCGGGTCTAATTCCGTACATTCCGTAATAAGAAAACACCTGTTAATTGTAAACTATTTACACGTGTTACATTGTCCTTTTAACAATATTTTATGACTTATACAAGTAAGTTTTATGCTGTAATTTAAATATATAATATGTCAAATTCATTTCGTTTTTTTTTCTGTTAAGAGTTCAGCAACATCTTTGAGGACCTGGACGAGGATGGAAGTGGTACACTAGTGTTTGATGAAATTAAATCTTATTCGCTAAAGCAATGTGCACAGTTACTCGGAACTAAAAAAAAAACCCCCGACTGATGGCCCAAGTTTAAAGGAATTTTTGTGTTTCAATAGCCAAAAGTAAATTTTAAAAATGAAATTAATTTTAAATTTTTTGTGATTATTTTTTATTTTTTCCATTGGGATGACCAGCTCCTGGAAAAACAGACCAGTTCTTCATAAACTTTTTCAAGAATTTAAACATGACTATTATTTAAAGGGTTTGAACCGCAAAATTTTAACAAAAATCAAAATTGAGCCCCGTCATGACAAAACCAAAAAAATGGGTTTTCGACCCCCTGGATCCAGCCAGCCTTTCCCCATCCGCCCCGTCTGATCAGGGTTTCCAGGTGTTTGCTTACCAAATCTATTACAAGTAAAGAAAAATGATAGCGAAAACAGGGGTCCCGAAACAGACGCGCGGATGCGAGGCTGGTCTGGATTTAAAAGTGGTCGCAAAGCATTATGTTGGTTTTGTTATGACACGGCTCATATGTACTCATCAAACTTGTGATACATTCAACAGGTACTACAAAATCGTATATGTCGTATAGTTATCAGAATGGTTCAACATAGATTGTGTACATTTCTAAAGTTAATTCGTAGGTTATACAGTATTGTCATATGAGTTGGTGGTTATGTTTTAATTTGCAAACAATCATACTGAGACAAAGTTTTCATATTTTTTCAAGAGTTAAGAGACTGAACAAGTTATCTGAAAGCCGACTGGCTTGTTTGTAAGATTCCTTTAAGATTCCCACATTTTCATATTTGTTTGCTGTTGACAAATAAAGATATTGAAGTTGATAAAATAGAATTGGCCAGATGTAACTCAAATGAGCCTTGCAAACCCATTATGTTGGTTTTGTCATGGCGAGACTCACATTTAATATTGAAATATTTGCCATTATAGGAGATGGCGCGGTTAGTAAAGATGAATTCAGATCCTATTTACAAGAATTTATGGCAAAGTTACAAGACCCCGAGGCTATGCTGTCTGAGGCAGTTGATACGATGATGAAGGTGATTGACAAAGACGGCAACGGACTTTGTAGTAAAGAGGAATTCAAGTAAATCTTTTGTCTAGCCACACTTTGTAATGTCGTTAGACAGTTTCATCAAAATTATACATAAAACGATATACTATAGTTGTCAAAATCATCTTTATTTTGTTTTCTTTGCAATTGAATGTTAAAAGCAAAAGTAATGTAAATAGTTGTGCGTTGTACATAAATGCATCACGTGTAAAGGCACGTGGTTTTGTCCATCTTCCTGAGACATAAGTAGTCAAATATCGTTTCAAAGAATGGTATTTAAAGCATGGCATTTTTAAGTAACGCCGATAACAAGGATAAATAACAGGTACAACAAATCATATGATTAGTGTAACAGTTGCGCTTTTGCAGTTTTCGTACAAAAAAAAATAGTACTTATGTTTATACTTGAATATTTGCAGGGCTTTTGTACAAGAGAAAGGCGAAACTCCTCTGAAAGACGAAGAAGTTGACGAGTTATTTAATGCCGTTGATACAGATGGTGATAAAACAACACTCACTAGAGATGGTCAATATCAGATTTTGTATCTATTTATGTTATTAGTTATAAAGATTGGTCTTTTAAAACGGTTCTTTGGAAATATATATTGCAGATCACCGATTACATATGCCATATAATCTGTCAAAAAATATTAATAACGAATTCATGACCCAGCAAGCATTTTTTTTAGAAAAAAAAGTGAGTTTTCGTTTTAAAATTGAAAGCAGCCATGTATATTAAACTTTATAATGTGACGATTATCCAATGAAAATTTATATCAATGTACAAGCAGGAAACGGGGAACCAGAAATGAGACAAAACAAAATAAGTGATGAATCTGCACCATTTTAAGGTCTTTGAAAAAAGGAACAAAAAAAAAACAACAAAAAACAATGTAGATAGAATATATGAATTTTAAATTAAGAGTTGGTAACTGTACGGCGGTCAATGAGAGCCTAAATGTACAGTAACCTTAGACATTATGAGAAGGTAGCCCTGAAAAGTGCACATAGGAATTGTTCCTTACGTATTGTTGATATTTTACGTCATGTCTCGTTTCAGAATTGTTGACAGTTTTAAAGATTGGATTACAAGCGAATCAGCAGTCAAGGCAATCATAGACAGACACCAGGGTGTTCCACGTTTCCCCCCTCCCACCCCTCGCGCTCATTTTCATCAGGCGTAGCGCGTGGAATCAATGATTGATTATGGATAAAAACAATAGACTTTCATGGTGGCTATTTATTTAGTGTTCACAAACAAAAACATATAATAGTATGCAATTTTCAATTTCAAAAGTTTTTTTTAATGAGGTGCTGCATATTTTAGCTAAATCTACTGTTGAAGCGAATATGGATCATCTGACTATAGTAGGTGATTTGTTTTCTTCGTGTTTTTGTATGTAAACAGTTAAGTTTTTTCTAACATTATGTTCTAATAAATATCTTTCTACCCCGGAATAGTGAAATATTGTATCAATTTTATTTTTTAGCTTGTTGATATCTTATTTCCTCATGATGATTTTGAAATAAATCATATTTTTTTACATGAAATTTACAACATATTTTGTTTCGCCATGGTATGTTTTGGAAAAAATGGTCATAATGAACCCTAACTTTACTAGACAACCAACCAGTGCTTTAATTTATCCTGAAACCGCTATGCTCTGGTAATCTATTTGATCTGATACTGGATACGACGTGTGGCTTTTCCTTTAAATTCAGGTGTTGGGGATTCAAGGACCTAAGTTAGTTAAAAAACCCTAAAGCCCATTAAGGATATTTTTGTTTTAAAAAGACCTTATTCATTCCTTATTTTAAATTTAAGGAAAATAAAAATTTTATGTTTTAAAAAATTTGGGGGAAATTCTTGAATGACTTTCAATTGGAAAAAAAAAATTATCTGGGGGACCAATAAATTTTTTTTAAAACTATAAAAATCAAGAGCTTTGGTCAAAATTCACTTTACGTCTTGCCCCCCTTTAAAGTTATGAGTTCCCATTCCTGCCCGGGAACTTTCATTCTTTTTATTTTCGAAGAAGCTACCAGTAACACAAAAGTTTTATGCCGGCCGTTTTAAAAAAGCGATTTAATGGAATTTTTGCCGGGTTTTACCCCAAAATTTAAACTAGAATACCAACATAGGACCTTAACAGTGCTTGTGTTACTAAAATGAAGCACGGGCGACAACAGTTGCTATATTCACCAATTGTCCCTTGTTATCTCCCTTGATTTGATACTATTTCCCTGCGGTCTGGAGACCGCAGGGTATTGGTACGCGTTTTACTTTTGAGACATGGAGGAGCACGTGACCTGTTTTCGGTACATGGAGGAGCATGTGATATGTAAACCGTACATGATTGGTTAATTGACCTTTTCGAAAACCTAGCTAAATACCGTTTGCCGGTACGTTACGGATTTACCTCAGAACAAAAACTATTACGTGATATTTCTAATTTTCTATAATTATTTTACCGTTTAAGGTGAAAAACTTGAATGATGTGTTTGAAAATTAATTAAATTATCAATGTTTCTTTAATATCTATCTCAAATTTTACAAACAATAAATTGTTTATACTGAAAATCTACAAAATTAAAATATTCGTAGTGGCATCTGCCATAATAAATAGAGTTATTTTCTGCGTTATTTTCTGCGTAAACTTGTGTGTTTACTTTATTTATTTTTTGCTCGGAATTATTCATAAAATGGTAGGCCTATTTAATCATTTTCTGTATGTGAGAAGTTAGCAGTTAACAGTGAGCTAAGCAAAAAGGCATTACGATTTATATAGGGAAATCAATGATCTGCTGTTATGCTCAGCTGGGTAAACAATCTAGCAGAGCATTCCAAAATAAAGTGTAGAAATGATTTGCTGGTATGCTCAGCTGGGTAAGCAATCTAGCAAGCCAATACTAAATATAGTGTAAAAATGCTCTGCTGGTATGCTCAGCTGGCTAGGCAATCTAGCGGGGTGTTCCAAAATATAGCGTAAAAATGCTCTGCTGGTATGCTCAGCTGGCTAGGCAATCTAGCAGGGCATTCCAAAATATAGTGTAAAAAGCTCTGCTGTTATGCTCAGCTGGCTAAGCAATCTAGCGGGACATTCCAAAATATAGTGTAAAAATGCTCTGCTGTTATGCTCAGCTGGCTAAGCAATCAAGCGGGGCATTCCAAAATATAGTGTAAAAATGATCTGCTGTTATGCTCAGCTGGCTAAGCAATCTAGCGGGGCATTCCAAAATATAGTGTAAAAATGCTCTGCTGTTATGCTCAGCAGGCTAAGCAATCTATCGGGACATTCCAAAATATAGTGTAAAAATGCTCTGCTGTTATGCTCAGCTTGGTAAGCAATCTAGCGGGGCATTCCAAAATATAGTGTAAACATGATCTGCTGGTATGCTCAGCTGGCTAGGCAATCTAGCAGGGCATTCCTAAATATAGTGTAAAAATGCTTAGCTGTTATGCTCAGCTGGCTAAGCAATCTAGCGGGACATTCCAAAATATAGTGTAAAAATGCTCTGCTGTTATGCTCAGCTTGGTAAGCAATCTAGCGGGGCATTCCAAAATATAGTGTAAACATGATCTGCTGGTATGCTCAGCTGGCTAGGCAATCTAGCAGGGCATTCCTAAATATAGTGTAAAAATGCTTAGCTGTTATGCTCAGCTGGCTAAGCAATCTAGCGGGACATTCCAAAATATAGTGTAAAAATGCTCTGCTGAATTGCTCAGCTGGCTAGGCAATCTAGAAGGGCATTCCTAAATATAGTGTTAAAAATGCTCAGCTGGCTAGGCAATCCAGCAGAGCATTCCTAAATATAGTGTAAAAATGTTCTGCTGGCAAGCTCAGCTGGCTAAGCAATCTAGCAGAGCGTTCCAAAATATAGTGCGAAAAATGCTCTGCTGGTATGCTCAGCTAGCTAAGCAATCTAGCAGGACATTCCTAAATATAGTGTTAAAAATGCTCAGCTGGCTAGGCAATCCAGCAAAGCATTCTGAAAATTAGTGTAAAAATGTTCTGCCGTGATGCTGAGCTGGGCAAACTAGCAGGGCATTCTTAAATAAAGTATAAATTTCGTTGGTCTGCAACAGATTATTTGGCACTCGTAGACTTTCTGAAATATTTATTGCCAATGCAGATAATGACATTTTTGACTTCTACGGGACCCTCAAGTGTCTATTTCTTTGGTCTCCGACTGATTCTGGGACGATCGCAGACTTTCAGGAATTTTTGGTGTTAATGCAGATAATGACATTTGTGAATTTTTAGGACCATCCAGAGTCCATTTCGTTGGTCTGCGAATGTTTCTGGAACACTCGCAGACTTTCAGAAATTTTCGGTGCCAATGGAGATAATGACATTTTTACTTCAAAAGGACCCTCCTGAGTCTATTTCGTTGGTCTGCGACTGATTCTGAGTCACTCACAGACTTTCAGGAATTTTTGATGTCAAGGCAGATAATGACATTTTTTACTTCTAGGGACCATCCAGGGTCCATTTTTTTGGTCTGCGACTTAATCTTGGACAGTCACAGACTTTCAGGAATTGTTGGTGCCAATACAATTAATTACAATTTATGACATTTTTGACCATCCAGAGTCTATTTCGTTGGTCTGCGACTGATTATTGGGCACTTGCAGACTTTCAGGAATTTTTGGTGCTAATGCAGATATAGACATTTTAGGGTAAAAATGCTCTGCTTATGACTAAGGGGTCCTTAACAGTAAAAAAGTCATGATCTGCAATGGCACTAAACATCCTGAAAGTCTGCGAGTCTCAAGGAATCAGTCGCAGACCCAAGAAATGTACTCTGGCGGTTCCCTAAAAGTCAGAAATGTCATTATCTCCATTGGCATCAAAATTCCTGAAAGTCTCCAAGTGTCACAAAATAAGTCGCAGACCAGCGAAATGAACTCTGGTGGGTCGCTAGAAGTCAAAAATGTCATTATCTCCATTGGCACTAGAGATTCCTGAAAGTCTGCGAATGTCCCAGAATCAGTCGCAGACCATAAAAATGGACTCTGGCGGGTCCCTAGAAGTAAAAATTGCCATCATCTCTATTGGCACCAAACTTTCCTGAAAGTCTGCGAGTGTCCAACAATACGCTGCAGGCCAATGAAATGGACTCTTAAAGGTCCCTAGAAGTCAAAAATATCATTATTTCCATTGGCACCAACCATTCCTGAAAATCTGCGAGTGTCCAAGAATCAGTCGCAGACGACCAAAATGGACTCTTGAGGGTCCTTGGAAGTCTTAATTGTCAATATCAGCATTGGCACCAAAAAATCTGAAAGTCTGCGAGTGCCATTCAAAAAGTCGCAGGACAATAAAATAGTCTCTTAAATCAGAATCAGTCTGCCAATTGAGCATTCCACCAGAGCATTTTTAACTATATTTCGGAATGCCCTGCTAGATTGCCTAGCCAGCTTATCATTCCACCAGAGCATTTTTACACCATATTTAGTAATGCCCTGCTAGATTGCCTAGCCAGCTGAGCATTCCACCAGAGCATTTTTTCACTATATTAAGGAATGCTCTGCTATAGTGCCTAGCCAGCTGAGCATTCCTGCAGAGCATTTTAACACTTTATTTAATAATGCCCTGCTAGATTGCCTAGCCAGCTTAGCATAACAGCAGAGCATTTTTACACTATATTTCGTAATGCTCTGCTAGATTGCCTAGCCAGCTTAGCATTCCAGCAGAGCATTTTTACACTGTATTAGTAATGTCCTGCTAGATTGCCTACCCAGCTTAGCATTCCAGCAGAGCATTTTTACACTATATTTAGTAATGCTCTGCTAGATTGCCTAGCCAGCTTAGCATTCCAGCAGAGCATTTTTTCACTATATTTAGGAATGCCCTGCTAGATTGCCTAGCCAGCTTAGCATTCCAGCAGAGCATTTTTACACTATATTTAGTAATGTCCAGCTAGATTGCCTAGCCAGCTTAGCATTCCAGAAAAGCATTTGTACACTATATTTAGTAATGTCCTGCTAGATTGCCTAGACAGCTTAGCATTCCAGCAGAGCATTTTTTCACTGTATTTAGTAATGTCCTGCTAGATTGCCTACCCAGCTTAGCATTCCAGCAGAGCATTTTTACACTATATTTCGTAATGCTCTGCTAGATTGCCTAGCCAGCTTAGCATTCCAGCAGAGCATTTTTTCACTATATTTAAGAATGCCCTGCTGGATTGCCTAGCCAGCTTAGCATTCCAGCAGAGCATTTTTAAACTATATTTAGTAGTGTCCTGCTAGATTGCCTAGCCAGCTTAGCATTCCAGAATAGCATTTGTACACTATATTTAGTAATGTCCTGCTAGATTGCCTAGCCAGCTTAGCATTCCAGAATAGCATTTGTACACTATATTTAGTAATGTCCTGCTAGATTGCCTAGCCAGCTTAGCATTCCAGCAGAGCATTTTTACACTATATTTAGTAATGCTCTGCTAGATTGCCTAGCCAGCTTAGCATTCGAGAAGAGCATTTTCTCACTATATTTAGTAATGCCCTGCTAGATTGCCTAGCCAGCTTAGCTAGCCAGCTGAGCATTCCAGCAGAGCATTTTAACACTATATTTAGTAATGCACTGCTAGATTGCCTAGCCAGCTGAGCGTTCCAGCAGAGCATTTTTACACTATATTTAAGAATGCCCTGCTTGATGCCCAAAACAGCTGAGCATTACAGCAGATCATTACCTTCCCTATATAAATTGAAATGCCTTTTTGCTTAGCTCACTATTCACTGCTTACTTCTCACATACTCATTTTCTTAAAAGAAATAATTGTTTTATGTTCGACCTTCTCCGGTCTTCAACGGTCACCAGTTTCCAAAGACCTTCTTCTATAGTGATCGTTTATTCAATTGTCAACTATATTCCTGATACAAACGTTTATTTATCCCCCCCCCCCCCAAAAAAAAAAAAAAAAATGTTGAAAATAGTTAAATGAAATATCATTATATCATTCAAATGTTCACCGCAGGAAACCATTTTACTTGTACATATTTTGCACTTATGTTTAGTGATTTACGTGGAGGCATGCTGCTCTACGCTGCTGGGCAACTTGGTCAGAATAATAAAGTACTTATTAAATATTTTTTAAATGGCAGTAACAGTACATTGTGCTGATATGACAAAACAACCTAACTGATCCAGTAAAAACAATTAAGAACAAAACAGTTGGTTTTTTGGTATTTAGTTTTATTTACTTATACATGTATACAAATATACGATCATAAATTTTCTTATATGTGGTAAAACCACACTTCATCAAATGAGTTTTATATCTCTCTTTCAAGCAATGACCCTTTCTTCTTATATGAGCATTTTTCTGTTTGAGTCTAAGGAGCAGAACAAATAAATATACATGTACTTTACAACATAAAGTCTATACAAATAATAGTCAAAATCACTTACGAGGTAACCTCTTTAAAGTATCACAAACTTTGAGTACAATATATATAAACAAAAAAAGTACAATTATCCGATAGATCATGAGTTCATACACCGATCATTTGTACTCCTCTCCCCAATCAGATTATTACCCCCCCCCCCCCCCCCCCTAAAGCCTGGCACATTTAGAAGCTTAAAACAACCCGGGATGAGGAAAGGGGGTTACAAATGACTGGTGACTAGTTAAGAATAATCAATATTTAATTTTGAATGAAAAATCAGAAAATGATTAATGACGTAATAAAGTAGCATCATTGTACACATAGCTCTACGTCATAATATTATACTATGATGTTCATAAGCACAGTAGAAGCAACATATTTAATCACTGATTGATAATAAATACACGGCACGTAATACATATACAAAATATTTCTTAAAGAATCAAATATTGGTTTTAAAAAATGAATATAAGACAATAGTGAAAAGGTAAAGGTTTACTAAACGATATGAATAAGTATAGATCTACTGTACGTATCTAGAAAGACAAGAAAACGGTTTCGACCAAGACAACAGTTTAGCTGCTGTAGTTATCTTAGCAACAAGGTACGAAAGTATAACGAAACGCAAGATTGCAAGTACATGCATGTATGAAACTTTAAACTGATTAATCAAATTTGGTGTAAGCACTTGATCAACTGAATTAAGAAACTTAGATGTATTTTTTCCTTTTTCAGTCTCGTCTGCTTCAATTTTCTGACCTGACAAAAAAGAACTGTCATATTAGTTATGCGTGAATAATTAAGTGCGTAATTACACACAAATGTATGGCTTGGTGAATGAAGAACATGTTGATTTTATGATTTTAACCTCGCTCTGGTAACGCGTAAATCATTCCTTTTTGAACACAAGCGCCACCCTCTTCTGTAAGAACTGCAGGCCATATGACGTAATCAACCCGTTTACCCCGTGCCTGATATCTGTCGAACTTTTCATTGTCAATTTCGAACCCGTGTTTCACTTTAAACAATAAATACATCGGTGGGTCGGACTGTCTACACCAGGCAAATTAAAAGCAGTGTTATAAGCAAAATCTCACTCAAGCCCTTTCACAAACGGACGTAAAAGGGTTCTATATAGTCTATCTGGTTTAAAAGCCCAAAAATATAAAAATTGTCATGCATTTTATTTTCTTTATTTTAAATGAAAAAAAATTAGTAAAATTTCTAAAAATCCACTAAAAGTTCCCTTTTGCTTTAAAGGTAAAAAAAAAAAATTAAAGTCATGTTTTTTGTGATCAAAATGGTCCCCACTAAATGAAATTTTGTAATATTAAAAAATTGTACTGCAAAATTTGTTATTTTGTAAACTTAAAAAATGATTCATTTCTTTTGAAAAATTATTCTTTTTAGAGAAACTATTGTAACTTGATTACTCCCCTTTATTTACATGAAATGTTAAATTCGGTAATACCTTTACAAATAATGCTTTTTAGAACCTACAATATTGATAAATCTTAATTTGAGCATCATATTTATGATTTAAAACCATAAAAGAAATTGTGCTACAGGATCTTTAAACTAATATTCAGCGATTTCATTGGCTGAAAATGTATGTAATGATTTAAATAGCATTTCTTCTCTATAAATACACTGCATTCAAAATATCATATATGATTTGAGTGCATATTTAATAGGCAAAATACATGTAACTGACTCTGAAAATGATTCAAGCGTACTTTTCCTTTAGATTAGGCAGGATGCTGAGCAAATGTATCTATTAACGTGTTATGCACTTAAGGGTATTTGATCAAATCAAGGCCGATAGTAAATTAACATTATGACCAGAATAATCTGTAAAGAGGTACCTTATAGTTTAAAATCAATTTATAAGCAATACATAATAATTTTAACCACTGAACCCATGTTAGAAAAATGATTGAGATTTAAAATTAAGTTCATTTCTCCGCTGTACCATCTTGGATAGCGGGTGACTGGTATATAACAGAAAATAGAAGCTTACATTAACTCCAGTGTTCAACATGTCTTGTGAAGGTCTACATCTATAGTGTAGCAGACGACGTCTAAGTTCCTCCGGTAAATGCTCATGAAGAGATTTCTAGAGAAGAAACAAAAACAGCTTGAACTTTAATGAAAGGCTTAAACTAAGCCATAACTAGATTCTGCATGGCGATGTATTGACAATGTTAAAATGTCAAACAAAAACAAAAAAATCATCATTTTGAAATGAAAGGAAATCAAAAAAAAAATTAGTACGTGCACCAATCTTTAAAATGTTTCTTATGTATCAAAAGGAAGCTGATAAAATGAATTTTGAATGAACATTACAAAACAATAACAAATCTTTTAGAAAACGGAAAAGAAAACATAGAAAATAGAAAAGGAAATATAAAATACAAGAAAAACAAAAGAAAAGCAAATACAATGAAGGAGTTAATAAAAAGAGTATATTACGGGTGGTGTGTGTCTTTTAGGTAACTGGTTACTCCTGTAGTGATTGGCTGTTGGGGACAGGAGTGCTGAGGCCACCGTCTCGATCTGATTCCTGGACGCTCGCTTACAAAACAAATACGCCTCCTGTAATAGAATATTACGTTAACCTTTTTCTGCTTATATGTGTTATTCTTATATAATATATTTGAAAGTAATTTGATAATTTGAAAAAACAACACAACAAGATATTATGATATCTAACGAAAGAGTCATAATACATGTAATAAATCTATAATGCAGAAAGTCAACATACTTTGCGACTTTTAATGTTTTGTTTGCTTTATTCTTAAAGGGGTACTCAGGCAAATATATGACAAAATATTAAATTTACCATATTTACTTAACTTATGCTAAAATGAAGTTTAAAAAGTGATTAAAAGTCCCTGCATGTTTTTTGTCTGTATAAATACTTTATAATGTGAGTTTAAAACCTAAATAAGTCTACATATGTTGAACGAAATGACGACGCAGAAAGAACTAATGAGTAGTTTTAAAACAAGTCATTTGACAATTACAATCCCTAGAAGTTAACAAAACAAATATTGTAGATATTGTAAGATTAAAACAAGCCTAAGTCGCTCATTTGACAGGTTCTTTTACGTTTTTATAGTTCACGGTGATAACTATGGTGAAATCTAAATGCTGTAACTTGACCCGCGTGGGTCAGGTTAGGAAACCAACATTTTTTTCTTTATATGGAAACAAATTTTGTTTCAAGGACTGCTTAGTCTATTCATTTCGATGACATTTATAGAATATTGGATAGAAAATTAAAATCTAAAATATGAAAATTTTGACTGTGTCTCCCTTTAAAGGCCAGTACTAAGGAAAGGATGCTATAAAATATCTGTACATCTAATAGCTTTCCAATCAGATAAATTTTGCAGGAAACTTATTATCGACTGATATCCAATAAAACTTTTTTGTGGTTTATTTTACTTTACTTAAACAGAGAATCGGTTTTATCTTTTAATCATATAATTTATGTTTGGTGCTTGTTTGTTTGTTTGTTTGGTTGGTTGGTTGGTTGGTTGTTTGGTTGGTTGGTTGGTTCGTTTGTTCGTTCGTTCGTTGGGTTGTAAGTCATTATAATGATATTGTAATGGTCATAAGGCTATTTTACTATATTGCTGGCAGAAAGAACTCTGAACATTACTTTTGGCTCAGGCGGGTACCTGAGTAGAACCACCGACCTTCCACAAGCTAGCTGTAAAGCAAGTCCTTGTAGAGCGGGTTCAAAGATGGAAATTTAGGTTTTATCAAGTTATTTCATCACCATACCGTGCAAATTTCTCCCAGCACGTGTATCGTCTTTTTCTCTTCTTTCTTTAACTTCTTCGTCATTTTATCAAATGCTTGTTTCCAATGCTGTTCAAATAATTCCTTCCTGAACTTTTCTGCCAATGAAGTGGGTGTGGTTAAATTTAAATCGAGGCTCTTTGTTTGCTGTAAATGTTTTGGTGTGGTCAGTTCTTTTAACCTGAAAGAAGTCAAAATTTAATGTAGGCTCTCAGATATATGCTAAATTTCATGAAACAATAATGTGTTTAAAATAGTATAATTCGCATCGAATATCCCCTCCCCCCCCCCCCCCCCCCCCTAAAAAAAATATCCCTCCAAACATGCAAAAAAATATCTACAAATACACGAGCATCAGGAAATAATATGGTGACAAAGTACTAAATTCAGTCATATTTGCATTTAAAGTATAACGCAAATGTTGGATTAATAAACATTTATATAAAGGCAAAGCTTTTTTAATAAAAGATTAATTTACAAATTATCAAACTTAAGAAAGATAAACTACAGGATTAAGAATGAATCAACGCCATGGTCAAAACAAATGAAAAGATTATATAGTTATATATTTTGCCGAACGTGTACATGAATTTTAAGACATTTTGTACGAGAGAGATTGTGCATAACCTTATCCGAAATGTTTAAGGACTCTTTTTTCTGATTTTTTAATTAATTACCTTCTATTGGCCTCCTCGTATTTTTGTTTCATGTCAGATAAATCTTGCTCAATATTTGTAAGATCTTTCTTGCTACCAGTGTCCTTTCTCTTTTGCTGTTGTTGAGTAAACCTTCTTATCTCGTCCGACAATCTGAAGATATTAAAGACGTTATTACTAAAACATTTTAGACGTAAAAGTCAATGCTATATTCCCAGATGAAGTCAATTGCTTACATAATAATCACGTTATACTTGGATACTTATATTGCGAAAGAGCAAAATATGTCTTTCAGTACCAATACCATGAACCAAGTGCATTAACACATCTTGATGGAAATTGTCTAGTTGCTTAGGTAAACTTTTCACATACAATCTATATAAACTCAAAACCGTGCAATATGAGAAACAATAACTTTTCTTACCGTTTGTTTTCATCTTTACTATTATTCAATTCATTTCTCAACGCCTCGATTTCTTTTATTCGTTTCTCCTTCTCATTCATGGATTCTTTGTTCTGTCTCGTCAGTGTATCATTCTGTGTTTTAATATCGACATTCTCGTTATATAACACGTCAATTCTATCATTAAGCTGTTCACAAACACGTCCAAGTTTAACCGTACTCGCCTTGAGCTCATTTTGTTCTGTCTCCAACTCTTTCAAATTGGATAGCACCAAACCAGAATCACTGTCAATTTCTATTGTATGGTTTATGTCGTTATTTCGTTTATTTAAGATATTTTCTTCTTCGCACTGTTGGAGACGAAGCAACAGGTCTTTGTACGATTGTTCAAGAATGTCATATGCTTGTTGAAGTCGTTCTTGGTCCCGTTCAGCTTTGGTCAGTCTAGAGTAAAGAGATTGTGTTGTACCCGAGTCAGAATCTTCACTCTCGGTCTCTGTGGAGACAGATACTCGTCTTATAGATGATCTACTTCCATAACTCTCGTTCTACAAATGATAGATGTATTACATTATAACCCTATCCAAACGGAACGAATTTATCACATGTATATTTAAACGTTTTTTTTGTTGTTTTTATTTTTTGAGTCATTTTGGAGAATAAAAAATAATATTTGGAAAAACGGAGCGAGTGAAGGATCTGAAAGTTTGCACGCAAGTAATTGGTGCAGACCTACATCAAATGACATACATGTATAATTTGTCTGGTTCTTTCATGTAAAAAATGCAAAATAAAACCTAAAAACAACAAGTCAGTAAAGTCCCTTCAAAAGAGTCTGTTACATAAAACATAATGCTTTCCTGAACATTGAATGAATAATGTAAATAAACAACTCTTTTACTCCAAGTACACTTATCAATTCGCTATTGTTTTGTTAAAAGAATAAGAACATAATGTAAGATTTAATTGTTCTTAGGTCAGGTTTAAACATCCTTTTGTACAGTAGTAGGATTTTTGGTACCTGTATAAGTGGACAAAGTGGGCTGTCGTCTGACACAATGATCTGCTGCAGTTCTGTGTTCGAGTCGAGCATTTCCTTCAAGTCTTCTCTCAGTCTCTTGTTCTCGTCTTCACTTTGACTAAGTCTCGCTTCTGTTTTTGTCAGCCTGAGTAACAAAAAAATCGTTCTAATATTTTCGTCTCAAGCAATACATTAAATTTGTCAATGTTGACTGGCAATTTTGCAACTACCTTTCCTTTAAATATTGTCTCGTTCAATATGCACAGTTACTCTTATTTTCTATAGTGTTTGGTTTCTCCGCAGTATTTTTGCTCAAGGCGAAAAAGATCTAAATGTTAGCATGTGACGAAAAACCTGTTTGAAAAAGATTCTATATTACAACATATAACATATTTTTAGACAAATTTCTCCAATTGTTTGATAGTTTATAAAAGCATCTATTTTTGCCAGATATAATTACAGAGTTATTTATATAAAAATATATATGGTGCAATGCTATAGGTCAGTTTGTTTCATATCTTTCATTTATGTAAATAAAGAAGAATAAAAAAACCTCCATGACAGTTGTTTATCTTCTTGGGTCAGTCCAGGTTTCTTCCGTGATATTTCGGCAGGATTCGTTCTGATACCGGAGAGTTCTGTTGCCGGCTTCGAGCCGGATTTTAGCTCTGCCTCCTCCAACTGTGCAATCATGCTGTGTAATTCAGCTCTGCTCATCATCGCCTGGTTTTCCTCCATTCCGACGATCTTCTAAAATATTTAGATGTTGATCTTTAACAATATTAAGTTATCAAAGGTTCCCTTCTCAAACAAGGAAATTAACTTTATATGGTAACAATTATAATCGTAGATTTTCTTTGATGAAATTAAACCACTTTCTGTTTGTACTCAAGAGGTCTGCAGTGTGTACAGAAATTGCATTTGATGCAGGTTCAACAAAACTGTTGCGTAATATACGTAGATACGTAGAGTCCCGCAAGTATACGAAAACCAAGCACGGTATACGGAAATCATGCATTACAAACGGAAATCCTACACAATCTACGGAAATCATTCATGATTTTTAAGATTTTAAATAATTAGGGAACAATCGTTATTGCTCAAACACAACATTAGCATGTTGCATGAGGTTCTTAAAATTTGTGACAGAAAAACGCTTTATATAGAATATTTGAACCGCGTCACGACAAAACCAACATAGTGCGTTTGCGACCAGCATGGATCCAGACCAGCCTGCGCATCCGCGCAGTCTGATCAGGATCCATGCTGTTCGCTATCAGTTTCTCTACTTGTAATAGAGTTGGTAAGCGAACAGCATGGATCCTGATCAGACTGCGCGGATGCGCAGGCTGGTCTGGATCCATGCTGGTCGGAAACGCACTATGTTGGTTTTGTCGTGACGCGGCTCATTTTTGCTAAACTGTAATAGTATTACAACGAATAAAATTAAAATTTTGTTGTTTTCTCATCGATCCGATCTCTTCTGTAATTAAAAGAAAAATAATATGACTCCCAATTTTTTTTATAACTTTAATGACATCTTAATTATTAA